TAGCCACAATAACCGAACAGAAAGTCATTGACTTTGTGTGGAAATCCATCATCTGCCGCTTCGGAGTACCGAACTCCATCATTACTGACAACGGTAAACAGTTTGAAGGCAAGCGACTTGAGTTCCTGTGCGAAGAATATAACATCAAACACTTCTTCTCCTCACCTTATCACCCACAATCCAACGGTCAAGTTGAAGCTGTGAACAAGCTCATAAAAAATGGCCTTAAAGTCCGACTTGACGCTGCCAAAGGAGCTTGGCCTGAGGAATTGCCACACGTTTTATGGGCATATCGGACAACTACCCGAACTTCCACCGGCGAGACCCCTTTCTCACTCACTTACGGATCAGAAGCCGTAGTCCCAGTCGAACTCGGTGAACCCACTTACCGAATTCAACATTTTATCGAAGAGTCCAACTCGGATAACCTGAAAGTCAATCTGGACTTGCTTGAAGAACATCGTATCCGTGCCGAGCTAAAAAATGCTACTTATAAACATCGAAGTGAAAGATACGTTAATTCCAAATTCAAGCCGCGTACATTCCGAGTTGGAGATCTAGTGCTCAAACGCGTGATGGGGGCCGACCCCGGCCCACTCAAACCGAGGTGGGAAGGACCCTTTCAAATTGTCGAAGTCCTACCTCATGGGGCCTACCGAATTGCTCATCCTGATGGAACTCCACATCAATATCCGTGGAATGCTGTTTTCCTAAAGAAATTCTATCAATGAGCGTTCCGAAGTCGGATATCCGATTCTTCTTTTGAACGGAACTTCCTTTTGCTTCGCTGAATGTACAAAGTGACTCTTTTGATGTACTGAAAGTCTACCGACTTTCACTTTTGAAAACCCGAGCAACAGCTCGGTACTGATGTAAAATACTTTGAAACTCGGTTCTATAAATGTTTTGTACCGATGTAAGCATTGCGACACTCGGTCTTGCTAATACCCCGTAATCTATCCAAATCCTACGCATGTTTTGGTTGGGGATTGAAGCTCGTCAAACGTCATTTCACCAAACATGATTTGGCGGGCCCCGAAAAGCACCGAATACAAAAGATACAAATTGGTTGGGGCCATTCCTTAATCGAACTCTGACGAAGTTCGGTGAACTCCGTTCTGTTTTACGTACAGCCTAAAAATACGTGAAGTTTTGCGAATTCTTAGTAAGTTCGTATACAAACTTACACTAGTGGCTGAAAATACACGGATCATAGTGTAACTCGGAAGCTATTTTTACAAAACCCCTAACTCGGTTAATAATATGAATAAATCCGAGTTGGAACAATTCATCTCAAAATCCATACCGAGTTCAGTACACTTGGTCAAAACATCGCTGAAACTTATACAGCAAAATGAAATCAAGACAGATGTTACGCAAACACATCATATTTATATTAGAAAGTCGGAAAAATCCTTACACATTTCCTACTAAGGGAGTCAACAATCTGACATCCCCGATTACTTAAAAACATATTGATATATTTCCTACTAAGGATGCCAACATACTGGCACCCCGATTACATATTATAACTCAAGAAAACTAGAAGTATAAAATCATAAATGTTCAAGGACTTCAAGCAGCATCGTCCTTCTCCTCAGCATCCCGACCGACATCACTTTGTTCTCCGACGTCCACTCCGGCAGACAAACGCTCCAGGATCGTCGCTTCCTTCGCCTTAGCCGCAGTCTCAATGGCCACATCCGACACTGGAACAAACTCATTGCCCGAGTCTTGAACTGCATCAGATGCGTCCTCGGTCGGGGTGACCACTTTGACGATCTCGACCTCCTTGTCGGTCGATTTAGCTTTTTCCTCAATGTAGGCCTTGACCCTGCTTTGGATCTGCTCCGGAGTCATATCATCAAAATATTGTTCAGTCTCCACATCGGCCAGAGTTGAAAGATACACGTCGGCCAGCTCCTTCCTCTTCTCCTTCTCTTTCTCCAAGATCATATTGACATAAGCACGGCGGAGGAGAGCAGCTCTATCCTCGGAAAGTGGCGGAAAGTCGGGGTTAGCAGCTATCTCTTCAGATCGGCGGAGCATCCAAACGCAAAATTCCCGCTCATCTTCGTCGGCCTCCACGTGCATCCCCTTTATTTCGGTGTCGAAGCCATACTTTGCGAGTTTACGAAATAAGAATAAACGAATATCGTCGATATCGTAATAACCCGCATCGTAACGCTCGATGACCCACTGGAGATTCAAACAAGTGTTCATCTCGATCTCGAGGTCAGGCCCATCGACCTCATCATCCCCACCGGCATCAGCAGCTTCAACCTCGGCCTCATCACCGGACTTCGGTTCCATAGCCGCAACAGTCTCTTTCCCAGCTTGAAAACCGATCTCGTACATGGTCTCACCATAAGAGGATTTCTCTTTTTCAAACTTCTCCATCTCGGCTTGATGGGAATCCCGCTGCCGACCCACCAGCTCGCGGACCTCGGCGCACTCTTTGCGAGTTGCCTCATGCTTAGCCTTCTCATCTGACAACAATATCTCTGTCTCCTCAAACTTGGCCTCTAACGCCTTGGAGTGTTGCTCGGCAAAGGCCAGGCGCGCCTTAAGATCAGCTACCTCGGCCTCAAAGGCTTTTTTCTCCTCGGACAACGCCGAGATTTCAGCCTGCGCCACTTTCAACTGCGCAACTTGTTCAGAGATTTTGCCTTTCATGTCGGCTTCCACCTTAGCCGACTCTTCCTTCAACGAGGCAATCATGGCATCTCGGGCGGCAATGTGTCCTTCTTCCCATCCAACTGAGCCGCGATCCGGCTATGATCATCTTCAGCAGCGACGAGACTAACTAAAGCTCGGCCCAAACATGCCTTAGCATAGCTCAACTTATCAACGCTTGATAGGGAAGAAACTCCCACTTCAGATTTCGGGTCCC